AGTCCAGCGACATTAGCCATTACGCTAACTGCTGGTCCCTCTTCCCAGACTTTTTAAGAAGACCCCCATGTTTGGATCATTTTCCCTAAGTGGATTGCGAACATATGTCGTTATTTCTCCTCTGCAATCTTATCTCACTGGGTTTACAACTTCTCCCTTGTGATCTTGAAGGTGGATAGGCTCAGTGCCCACCCAGAGGGGCCCAGTTGTCTCAGAAGAGTCTCTTTGGGGCCGGCAGGTGGTCTGTGGTTAAAGGTGCTGGACTCCTACATGGCCAACCATTGTTCAAGTCCCAGACCTGGTGGCTTTCTTTCTCATTTTCCCTCTCTCTCTATCTCTCTCTGATCAAATTGGAAAATAGTAAACAAATAAATAAAGTTAAAATAAAATAATTCTTTTTTAAAAAAAAAAAAAGAGTCCCTTCATCTCTGAGGACTTCAGGCATGGACAGAGATCATCTCAGGGCCTTTCCTGCAACTCAGGACACCATTTTGGTGGCCACGTGGTAGGTTAGACTCGTAGTTGAACTTCTTACACAGTATAGTCGAAAGGGACTTCGTGACAGTCATACAGCCAGCATCTCCCTCTGTGTTAGTCTGAGCAGCTGGCACGGCTCCGCGGATGTTGCATCTGCTATCTCCTATACGCCTTGGAGGGGCCCTTCGTAGTAGATACTGCTCTTACCATCCTGAACAGATGAGAGCTCAGGTTCAGAGAAGTCAAGCAATTTGTCCACCTTTACACAGCTAGCTACAGGCAGAGCCGGACTTCCAGCAAGGGGTGTTTGACAGCAGCAGGGCTCTTGACCGCTGTACTCTGCTGCCTTTGATGATTCTGTTCAGAACAACCAAAAGAACTCTAGCCCTTGAGTGAGCAAAGGCAGACGAGAGAATTAAGCTGATGTGCTTTGCTTTGTTTCCCAAAGCAAAATGAAACGAACACGTTTATAGCCAGCCAATACATGCTCATCTCTGAACTCGGGTGTCTCTGTTCCAGGTACCTACTTTTCTTTTTCTTTTTTTCTTTTTTTTAGTTTAGTGGGTTTTTTTTTGTTGTTTTTTTTTTTTTTTTTTTTTTTGGAGTCACTAGTCTCTTTTTTCTTTTTTTTAGTTTAGTGTTTTTTTTTTTTTTTTTTTTTTTTGGATATAGGATAGGTGCACTTGCTGGAGAGACAAAGAGACAGAA